CCCCCAAGTGTCAGTGTGTCATTGTTCTGGACCCCCAAGTGTCAGTGTGTCATTGTTCTGGACCCCTAAATGTCAGTGTGTCATTGTTCTGGGACCCCCAAGTGTCAGTGTGTCATTGTTCTGGACCCCTAAATGTCAGTGTGTCATTGTTCTGGGGCCCCCAAGTGTCAGTGTGTCATTGTTTTGGACCCCCAAGTGTCAGTGTGTCATTGTTCTGGGACCCCAAGTGTCAGTGTGTCATTCTTCTGGGGCCCCCAAGTGTCAGTGTGTCATTGTTCTGGGGCCCCCAAGTGTCAGTGTGTCATTGTTCTGGGGCCCCCAAGTGTCAGTGTGTCATTGTTCTGGGGCCCCCAAGTGTCAGTGTGTCATTGTTCTGGGGCCCCCAAGTGTCAGTGTGTCATTGTTCTGGGGCCCCCAAGGTTTCGGCCTAAAACAGTTACAATGTGCAAAGTGTGTTCACAATTTTCTGTCTGAGGCAATGTGTGTGTGCGTTTGTCTCGGTCGGCGTGTCCTGGCCCTTACCTGCGTGTTGCGTGTCCTGGCCCTTACCTGCGTGTTGCGTGTCCCCCCCCCCCATGCCTGAGAACGATCCGCCTTTGTCACAGATTTAACTTCATGAAAGCTTCTGATTTGAAGTCGCGGCTTTTAGCGGGGATTCGCTCGTCTTCTTAATCAGACGTTTTTGTTTGAGGAGCTTTTAGCAGCTTTTTGCTTTTCCTGATTTTCATTTGTGTTTTTCGGGTCTATTTTTGTAGCGGCGGATTATAATTGTATAAGCGATCGTATTCCAGCTGTGGAGGGGTGACTGAGGAAATGCTTCCTCCTGCCTGCAGCAGACTGATCACTGGGGGCGGGGAGACTGAGGAAAAGCTTCCTCCTGCCTGCAGCGGATAATGCATCTCACAAATCCCCCTTCATCAGGGCTAAGACACAAGACAACATATTGTACACGAGAGGATCCTCATATTAATCATTATGGAAGTTCAGTCCAAGAAATAAAATCTAAAGATGTAAAATATGAAACTTTGTATCCGAATGTGTAAATAAATTCTATTGCATCATAAAAAGGAAACATTGTCCCATGTGTCAGTGGGATCTGTGAGTGGAGGAGATGTCGGTCTCTCGGGAAGGTGAGTCATCTTCATCCTCCGACTCTCCCGGGTTATGTCCCTCGTGTGACACGTCTGGCGGTATATTGTTCCAGTCGGAGTTCCTGTGTCCCGGCATCCCGCCTGAGGTGCGCTCGCTATCAGA